ATACACAAAAAGTCGCAAATTATCTGTACATAAATAATAACAATCTCAGAATTTATAGATAACGTAAATGTCGCTAGAATATTTGTCTACATAAATCCATGTTACATGGGTCGTTTAGACTGGAACAGACTGTAAGTGGTTTAATGTGTGTGTGTGTGTGTGTCTTGGCTCTGTGTGTGTGTGTGTGTGTGTGTGTGTGCGCGTCTGTTGCAAGCCCATTTATCAGCAATCTTCTGCTCTGATTGTAGTGCTCATGCACGCTGAGCTCGTCTCGTGGTCCAAGGCTGTAAATCTCAGACTGTCTTGCAACAGGATTTGCATTTTTCCTTTTTTTTTTCTTTTTTTTCCCTTCTTTCCATTTTCCTCCTTCTCCTTCTTCTAATTAATATATAAAAGCATTCCTCCAGCTCTCTAAATCCGAAACCTGACCGACTATAATGTGCAAAAGATCAGCTGGACCTCGGCCCAGATTTCAGGGAGGAAAACTTACAGAAGCGAACGGATTTAATTACTCTGATTCGGGTCGTATTTGTGGAAGCGAGGAGGATAAGTCCTCGGAATTGGCTCTCAGACTTCCTCAGGAATGTGGAATTTTTCGGCTGTGTTGTGTTAAACACTACAAACACCGCAACATGAGTCACCTTCTATTAGAATCATCCCACGCTGGAGCTGATTTGGAGTTAAACACATGCTGGGGTTATCATTCTGTTCTTTTAAACACTTGCTGAGTGTTTATCTAATAAACATAAACACTTGCAAAAGTTTTTGATCTAAATCACTCCAGTACAAATTTTTCCTCTTTCATCCCAAAATACTTCAAGACCTGTTCAGTAAATCAACAAAATGTGTAACTGCATCTGTTACACATGAAAGATCTTATTAAAATGAACATTAAGAGTTGCATTTGAGCTCGTTATGAGCGTGTTTATTAAATTCCACTACAGTATAAAGATACACTAATACACTAGTGGACACTATTAAATATACAAGTGTTAATTAGTGTTGTCAATATCACTTGTATGTTACATGACTAACACATCTCAGAGTTTGTTACTTTGGATCAGTGGTCTTATGATTTGATTAATGTATTTGGTGTTTTTAATTTATTTATTTGCTGTTTGGATCAGAGTTTAAAACAGTGGTAAAGTGTTTTAGGATCTGGTTTAGGTGTTTGGATCAGTGTTCAGTTTGATGTTAGGATATGTGAATCAATGTTTGGTTTATAATTGTTTACATTAGTGTTTGGGTTTTTTTTATTATGTTTGGGGTTTTTATGTTTCGATTGGTGTTTGGACTAGTATATGGGAGTTGGGATCAATGGGGTCAGTGTTTGTACTAGTGTGTGGAGTAGTGTTTGGGTGTTTGGCCTAGTGTATGAGGATTGTGTTCAGTGTTTGCATGTTTGGACTAGTGTATGTGGGTTGGGGTCAGTGTTTGGGTGTTTGGATTAGTGAATGTGGGTTGAGGTCAGTGTGTGGATGTTTGGACTAGTGTGTGGGGGTTGGGGTTGGTGTTTGGACTAGTGTATGAGGGTTGGGGTCAGTGTTTGGACTAGTGTGTGT